GTGAGACCATGACTCTAAATAAAATATTAAAAGGGGCTGGGGATGTGGCTCAGTGGTTGAGCGTCCCTGGATTCACTCCCAAATATCAAAAAAATAAAAATAAAAAAGCCCAGGCACAATGGCTCATGCCTGTAATCCCAGCAACCTGGGAGGTTGCGGCAGGAGGATTGTCAGCTCAAAGCCAGCCTGATAGGAAGTTAGGAAGACCCTATCTCAGAAGAAATAATCAAAATGGCTGGGAATGTAGCTCAATGACAGAGCACTGCTGGGTTTAATTCCCAGGAAAGAAAGAAAGAAGAAAATACACTTTCCCTTTGGTCCCCAGCAAGCATCTAGCCCACTGATACCATTCAATGCCAACATTAACTGCAGTGTACCTTCTGGCTAAAGCAAGAGATTGGGTGAAACACACTAACAAAAAGACATCAAATTCATATGTAGTTGTTTTTTGTTTTTTTTTTTTTAACTATGTTGCATATAGAAGTTGCAGAGGGGAAATCACTACCTTTTAAGCATGATGGTAGGCAAAGAGCTCTCATGGGCCCATCTGGGGACAAGCTGAGCCTCAAAAAGAATCATGACAGTAATTGATGACAAGACATATAACCAAAAATGAAACCACGAGTCAATAATGTTGCTCAAAACTAAAGGACAGAGAAGTAAAATCTCTGCTCCCTGGGGGACTTCATCTAAGTACTTGTAGCAGAAACGAAAGTGTCAGTAATTCACCAGTCTGTGACTTGGCACAAAAAGAAAAGACGGTGCATGGCTGTGAACAGATATTCATGGGCTCAGAATACCACCCCGGGTTACTCACTCATTGCACAGGACAGACGCACAGGCCCAATGTGGAGGTCTGGTGGACACCTGCTTGACTAGCTTACCACACCCAGCCAAGACAAGACCAGGCCAACCCGACTACAGAATGTCCTCATGCACCTTCATGAGAGGGACACAGCACCAACTCTACAGCCCAGGAGGTCAAGTCATCGCAAAAGTGTCTGAAGGATTCTTGCCAAACCTGAATTGAAGCAAAAAAAAAAAAAAAAAAGCAAGTATACAAATACAGATTATTGGATATTAAAGAAGACCACTGCCCTAGACTTTTCCAAAGCTATCAGAACCATTGAAGAAACTGTAAAGGACAATGACCAACTCATAGCTGGAGAAAATGACAGAGTCCTAGCTACATGCGGTGTGCACGATTCTTAACCAGAGTTTAATGGCAGATTTTTTTTTATAAAGACTATAGATATTTTTTCTTGAATCCAAAGGCCCTGGCAACTACCAAGTGGTCACAGATGTCCAAGCAATGTGACAGCCACCTGTTGCTCTGAGAATTCCTGCCTTGGATGGGTTTGGGGGCAGGTTTGGGGCAAGCGGCATTGCTGGTGGGGTTCGGGCAAGGCTGAGATGCAGCTGTCCAGGTCAAGCCCAGGTAGGAAGTGCTGGGATCCATCCAGATGTGCCCTGGGGCTGGTGTGCAGAGAGTGAGGAAGTCCAGGGGGACTTAAACACTGAGTACCCTCTGTCCCTCCTGACAATGCTTTGCTCCTGGAAGCTACAGAGAGAGAAAGAAGGGAAGGAAGGATGGAGGGTGTGTGGGGGTGGGGCGGGGGAATGCCCACTGAGGATCTCTGAAATAATTTAGGAAGTCTTAGACTAACATTTGAAAAGGATCACGCTGATAATTGGTGTCTCAATTTATATCCCTTGGAAAAGCCATTTCAGTGATAGAGAATTTTGTCAGAGAACTTAAATGGAGTCAGTCACACATTTATCTCACTAAGGATTTTGTCTCAGTACTGTTCAAAGGGTAATTTTGAAGATGGGGGAAAAAAATAGGTCAAATGCTGAGCACTGTTCCCATCACACTGGAAGTACACACTGTGTACCTTAGTCCTTCTCCACCACAACACCTGGGCTTTAGACACATTCCATACGAAGAGACAGAGAAGAGCTGTCCCTGGCCCACAAGACTTCCTCTAAAGCTGGAAACTCTTAGTTTGAAATGTGCAACAATGAATCGAAATTCAACTTAGGCATTGGATACTCAGGCATGATTCGCAGGCAACACTGAAGGGCTACAAATCGTTCCCAGTTGCCCTGGACACTGGCAAGAGAAGGCAATAAATCAAATTTTATTTTAATAAATTTCTTTATAGGTTTTTTGTTTCTGATCCTGATAGACTGCTAAATCTCTGTCCTGCCCCCCACAAAGAAAACCAGATAAGCACCAATGTATCAATGGTGCCAATGTGCACCAGTTCACTCACCCATCTCACAAAAATATATCTGCCTGTTATGATTTTCTCTCTTTTCCCCCACCCCAGCCCATGCTGGTGATCAAACCCAGAAGTTCATGAGTGCCACATTTTGCTCTGTGGTCTGTTCTGTTGAAAGTGATCCCCAGTAGCTTTTACACGATAGCATGTTTTCCAATCCCACAAAGTGAGTTCTTCTGGGATAGAGCCTGGGTGTTCTCAGCAGATAAAACGCTTTAATTGGGTGAGGAAAGAGATTTGCCACTTCAACCCTTCTTTGTAAAACCTCCTTTGACTCTGCCGGTGATCCAAGCCCCCCACTGCGGAGGTTTCTTCTTTTTCAGCGTCTGTGGGATGGTGTTACTGTTTTCCAAATGGAGTGTACATTACGAGTGCCCCTGTGCACTTTTATAGGACTTAGGACAATAACAACTCTCTTGGGTTTCCTTTGCTTCTTCCTGGCAGATGACCGCGACCTATAGTGGGATCCAGGAAGCTTTGACACAAGTCATGGTCCCAGGCTAGCAGCCTCATCCATTTTTTTTCTTCTCTTTAAGTTCATTTGATATAATTCAGCCCAGTACAGTAATGCACGGCGATACACTCTGAGAAGCATTTTGTTAGGCTATCTCATGATTGTGCAAATATCCCAGTGCATTTACAGACATCTCTTAGTGATGTCATTGGACCACCATTGTATATGAGGTTCCTTGGTGACCAAACATAGTTGGATGGCTCATGACCACGTGGGCAAAATAGCATCACTTCAACATGAGAAGGTTAAAAGTGACTGCTGAGAACATTTCCATTGTTTTTCCAAAGGCATGGAAGTGCCGTGTGCTCTGCACATGACATGTGTATAAATTCAGACTGGCTGCTGTTCGAGTCCCACTTGTGACCACATCCTATCCAACGCAGCCTGTGAAAGATGGGTTTGGTGAGATTCCTCCCCCAGCCTGAGCGCCCCCAAAGATACTGCGGGAGCCTCCACTCTGTGTGCACCAGGCCAACCTTTAATTGATTCTGAAAGTCACCTGGGCAAGCAAGCCTGCCAACTGATAAATCCATGAATGCTAACCTGGTCCACCCCAGGGCTGCGGGGTGTCACTCAGATACACCAGGCTGCATCCCGGGGGACCCAGAAAACCATCAGCCCTGGGTCAGTGCAGTGTGCTTCAGGAAACATGGCCACCTCCTCTAAGCAGAGCGTAAACAGAGAAAAGACACGTTTTGTGTCACCAGGACCCTAGCTAGGCACTCCTTACAAAGAAAGAATTCACACAATGCAAATTCCACAAGTCAACTAAGAGGAGGCCCAAATTGCAAAGGAGAAAATGACCTCGTGACAGCCACAGCCACAATCGAGCACTTTTCCTTTTACTCATCTTGAAAAAAATCACGTGGGAGAAACTTTCTCCCCAAAAGAGCAGAGAGCCTTTCCTGACATCATGCTTTTTCCAGTTTACAGAGATCAGGTTTCAGGGCCCTTCACCATTGATCCATTAGCTAATGATGGCTCAAAAGGTGTTTCCTGCAGAATGAGGGTTAGCTTTCAGTTGGAACAATTTAAAAAAAAAAAAACTGCACCCCAAGCTCACCACCGTCAACTCATGCCCGTCACCCCAGCTACTTGAGAGGCTGAGGCAGGAGAATTACAAGTTTGAGGCCAGCCTCAGCAGCTTAGAAAGACCCGGTTTCAAAATAAAATAATAAAAATGGCTTGGGATGTGGCTCAGTGCTTGAGCACCCCTGAGTTCAACCCCCAATATCGGCAAAAAATCAAAAACCTGAGTGCACATTAATGAGATGAGGTGAACTTTAGAACCCAAGAGAATAAGATAATCCCATCCCCCGTGAAGTCATCAGCATTGCTCTTTCCTAGTGTTTCCTCTTGCCCTTTCAGCTTATCGCCTCAGTCACCAATGAGGTATTACGAGACCTTGTCTACTGCCCGGAACTGCAGGGGCACTTGTCCAGGTCCCTGGGGACTGTGGCATTTGGAGCAGCGTCATGTTTTAGTCTGATTTTCCTGACAGCACGCCCACTCAATCTTGTGATCCTTTTATCCTGCAAACCAGAAAGCTTCCTCCAAGATAGGAAACATGATTTCACTGCAAAACACCATAGCCTGTGTCAGGCCCAGGGCTCCTACCTGAGTTGGGTTTTTTTCTTTTTTCTGTACTAGAAGAAATCACTCTATCAAATTCCCAACTTTGTTAGTGGATGAGAAGGTTTCTTTTTCTCGTAGGTTTAAAAAGAAAGAGGGGATAGTTGTGGCTCAGTGGTAGAGTACTCGCCTAGCACTTGTGAGGCACTGGGTTCGATCCTCAGCGCCATATAAAAATAAGTAAGTAAAAGTAAAGATATGTGTCCATTTACAACTGAAAAAAAAAAAAATTACCAAACATCCTCTGCACTTTCAAGCTTGCCTGAAGCTATCCCATGTTCATGCTAGAATTCCTCCATAAGATGAAATAAAATCATTGTGAATGTACTTGGTGCCATCAACAGTAGGCTTAAAAGTGGTTGAAATGGTAACCTTTGGGTTATCTCTATATTACCACAATGAGAAAGCCAATTAAAAATGAGCCAGTAGTTTGGGAGGCTGAGGCAGGAGAATCGCAAGTTGGAGGCCAGCCTCAGCCACTTAGTGAGGCCCTAAGCAACTCAGTGAGACCCTATCTCAAAATAAAAAGTAGAATAAAATAAGATACCCAAATCATAACTCTCAGAACCTCAGAATGTGACCTTATGTGGAACAAGGTCTTGTAATTAAGGTAAGCTTCAAGAAATGCAATCTTTAGGGTTATAGAAAAGATTCATCACAGCTAATTTGAGACACAGAAGGACCCAGTGATGGCCGGGAGGAGGCAAGGTCCACAGCAGAGTGTTCAGGGCAGGGGCCGGGGACAACAGGAACAGCCTGATGTCGTTGGCACTGAGGACGGGTGACAGAGCACACAGCACTGCTTGCTCCCACGAGGGCCCAGCTGGGGTTGAAGATCAAGATTCTGTAGTAACACGAATTTGCTCGGTCGTGCAATTTTTCTCCAGCAGCCGTGGGGAGCTTGGATGTGGACCAAGGAAGGCAGATGGCTGGGCTGGTGGAAGATGGGACTTGTGCACAGAGCCGCGCACAACGTTTCGGTTTGTTTCCAACAGGAGCTCCTTGGATGGATGGGCTTCAATAGATCCTGTACAGTAAACTCTGGATACAAAAAAAATACTCTGATCCGCCGTCCTGCAACCATAAGCTAAACGCAGCAGTGGTGCTGGAGATGATTTTCCCCCAAGTCAAAACAGTGTTAAGGGAGAGTGGGGGTGGGGTGCTCTGGCCGCCGAGCAGGGGCCATATCCAGCTTCTGGATTTGGGTAACTGCTGCAGAATGACAATGCATGTCTCTGGAATGCACTTCTGTGTCCATAGGTCATGCATCACAATAAAAAAGTGAAACGACAGAAGGACTATTCCGTGGCTACACCAGCATTCTACTTTTAATGACAAGCATTAGAAATCCAAATCGAGCTAGACGGCCAGGGTGGCAGGACACACCCCACAATCACAACTCAGGAGCCTGAGGAAGGAGGATCTCAAGCGTGAGGCCATCTTTGGCAACTTAGTATGACCCTGTCTCAAAATAAAATTAAAAAGGGCTTGGGACATAGCTCAATGGTAGAGCATCCCTGGGTTCAATCCCCCAACACTGCAAGATAAAAAACAAAATTTAAAAAAACCCAAATCAATTAGAAAGGGAAGAGGAGGAGGAGATGAAGGAGGAGGGAGACAGGAAGAGTAAGAGAAGAAAAGAAGAAAGAAACACACTGGTTAATTTAACTGGAAACTTCATACGAGACCTGCAGGCTAGACTATACCCAGGTGCTCAGATGCTACCTAATGAGGACTTCTCAGTGATCCTCCGAGTCTTAATGCTGTCTTCAGTTCCAAAGAGTGATACAGAAGATGTGGTTTTATCTTCATTAGGTTTACCTGTTACCCACTTAGCAAGCCCAGCACAAAACAAAACTTTCACAAACTCTATCAAAAGCTCTGATCCATCTGTCTCTGGATCATGACGGACCATACATAGATCCTTCCCTAGCAACTCTCCCTGACTGAGGGATGTGAGATGCTGTTTTTCCGCCAGCCTGAGCCCCAAGTCAGCAATCTCCTTTCCTTTCCCACACATACATGCAACCAACAGAACACACAAAACAATGACCCAGGCTTCCATCTCTTCCTTTTAGCTGTTAATCACCTCACAGAAGTTCCTACAAAAGCTTAGGTATGTAATTCCTAGCAGTCCCCCAATTATAGGCGCCTGCTGGCACAGTTTAGAAGAACATGACCTTCTACCTGGAAGAACATCAAGAGACCAGATTGGCCCAAGCCCTCCAGCTTTGCCCAGTGACCCACAATTTCTGTCGCAGAGCCTCAGGGGTGCTCAACCGGCTCCTTCCAGTGAATGAAGGCAGATGGCATGAATGCCCAGGAACCATCCAGCACCCAGGGAAGGCAAGCTGTGTTCTGCTGAGCAAGCATGCCAGTGCCCCAGGGCTCCTGCAAGATCACCACAACCAAGAGAGCCTCCTAATCCTGTCTGTCACTGAACCCCTTATGCCTCTGTTGAGACCCACCAAGGCTGGACTGATGGGCTGACCTGTGCACAGTCCAAAGCACCCAGGAATCTGCAGCTGTCTTGAGCCACAGGTCATGGGCATCGAACTTTAACAAGAGCCATCCAAGCACAAATTCCAACAGATTTTAGCCTTGCTGAGAAAACTCTCAATGTCAGAATAGCCACACCCTTGATATTGATCCCCACATTTGTGGGTTTGTTCTTGAGGGAAAGGGATACCAGGTATTGAACCCAGAGGCACTTAACCACCGAGCCCCAGCCTCCCCCTTCCCCCTGCCTTTTTTATGTTTTATTTTGAGACAGGGTCTCACTAAGTTACTCAGGGCCTTGCTAAGTTGCTGAGGCTGGCTTTGAACTTGTGATCCTCCTGCCTCAGCCTCCTGAGCCACTGGGATTACAGGCCTATGCCACCCGGCTTGCATTTCTAAACAGTAGAGCAACCAAGTCTGTTTTTGAAAATCATCAATAATCATTTGACCACAAGAAAGACTGCTTTTAGCAGGACCCAATGGCACACACCTGCAGGAGGATCACAAGTACAAGTCCAGCCTGGGCAACATAAGGAGAGCCTGTCTCAAAACAAAAAAATAATAATAATAATAAAATAAAATGGGCTGGGAGTCGTTCAGGAATGGAGGGCTCCTGGCTTCGATCCTAAGTAGCTCAGAATGCTCTTTTTTGATGAGGAAGCTTTTAGTTTCTGTCTTGTACAATCAATGAAGATTAAATTAACATCTTGAAAACACACAGGATGACCTTCTTGTCTTCCTTTATTCCAAGACTACCCAGGGCTCCCTTCCAGTGCCCAGCACTCTGCTGAGAAAGATATTAGCAAGCCACATCCCCTGTCAAGGAGACACACTCCCCCTCCCTGACGCCAGCCCCTCCAGGCTGCCTACCCCAGCACTGAGAGGTGCCCAGGCAGGGTACATAAAGGGTAGTGGCTGGTTTCCCCTTCCCTTACTACCTTCAGAGATGTTCTCCCCCAAATTCAAGCCACAAGGGCACTGCAGTGTGTCTGTATTTGAAAGCAGGGTCTCTAAACAGGTGATGGAGGTACTGAGATCTGGAGGGTGGTCCTGATCCAACAGGTCCCAGGTCTTGATAAGAAGGACAAAGACCCACGCAGAGGTGCCACCCTGTGAGGACACAGGGAGAAGATGGTGGGCCCTTGCGACACCCTGATCTTGAAGGTCCAGGCTCCAGGGCTATGGGACCATGAATGTCAGCCCCCAGGCCAACATGTAGTATGTGGACACCGCAGTCCTGATGCGCTGTCACCAACCCAGGGCACCTGGAGAATCCAGGTCCTGCAGAATCCCTCCCCACCCCCCTTCCCACTTTTTAAAGCCACCCAGTGAGAGCTCCGGGCTGTCTGGCTCTTTGAACTGCTAACCTGACTGCCCAGGCAGACCTGCAGCTAACACCCACATCCGGATTTCCCCCTCGGGCGCCCTTCTCCCTCCCTCCCCTCCCCTGGGAAGAAGGCGCACCACCCGCCCAGAAGAGGCGTCCCGAGAGACTCGCCAAGTCTGGCTTCACTAGATGGTAACAGATAGTGAACTACACACTTGCCCACGGCCCCCCACGCCAGGCCGGTTTTAAGTTGTGCCCGGTGTGCACGGAATGGCACTGAGAGGCCTCCAACCTCTCCAGGGGAGAAGAGAACAGAAAGAGCCCCGACGGGTTTGGGCTGGGCGTCGCGTTTTCTTTTCGTTGGGGGAGGGGCTTCTGCTGGGGTGGAAGGAGGGGGCAGGGAACCGAAAGGAACCCAGTCTGCAGGCAAGTACTAGCAGAGTCACTACTGGAGGCAGGCTCGGGATGCTTCTAGAGCCACCCTTTGGGGATGGAGGGGGGCAGGCTGAGCAAGCTACAAGGAGCCGGGGTGTGAGCCTTGGGCAGCCGCCTAGGGCAAGCCCACCGCTCCCAGCCCAAGGACAAATCAGGCTGATTAAAAAAAAAATTTTTTTTAAAGCAATACTTCCTGTTATGTTCAAGGGAGACTCGCGGCCGTTTCATTATTAAGCAATTTTCTTTTTAAAGAAACAGAAAAAAAAAAAAAAAAACCCACACACACCAAGACCACGTTGCTCCGAGGCCAGGGACAGCTTCTTAGCCCAGCCCAGCGTCAAGGTTTCAAATCTCCTATTTTCTTAAGCCCTTCATTAAGCCTTCCAAGAGCTTGCCTATGTTTAATTTGCATTCTGAAACGGAAAATCCAGTGTGTTCTAGCATTGTCTGCTTCAGCTGAAAAGGAAACTGTAAATTTATACAGTCTGGTTAAAAAAAAAAAAAATTGGCAATTGCATCTTAATCAGTCTCTGGAATGAGGCTGGGCGGCGTCCCTCCCATCCCCCTCCACTTTCCACCCCTCCCTCCTTCCTCGCTGCCCCTCCCCC